GGCATTCTGCAGGTAGGCCACCTTGGTCTTAGGAATTCAGCCAGGACTCAGCTCTTGTGAGCACCACTCACCTCGGCAGACCTTTTGCACTTCATGCTTCTCTCATTAATGTGCTGGGAATGCAGCTGATTGCCTCTGTGGCCCCTTAATTAAAGACAATTAAAAGTTGCTGAGTTTCCATGGGGACGACTGATTACCCGGTGGAGTTCCCGTTTGAGAAGAGGAGCCTCCAAAGTCCTCTTGCATGAGAAGCAAGGACTCAAGCCCTCAGGCTCCTTTAATTCATTCCCAGAATCCTAGCAGCTTAGGTTGAGCCTTTTTTATAGTTAAAACTCCAGGTCCCTTCCTTAATGGAGTCATACTAAAAGGCAAACTCTCAAGTGCCTCTCTTCCCATCTCCCAGACCTCTTCTGGAATCTGTTCTCTCCATATGCTAGGAGTTTTAGTCACTTCCTATTGCTGTGATAAAATCACTCACCAAAATCAGTCTGGGGAGGAAAGGGTTTATCTGGCTCACAGCACAGTTCATTATCAAGGGAAGCCGAGCAGGATCTCAGGGCAGGAACCTGGAGCACAGACCATGGAGGAGCACTGCTTATGGGCTTGCTCTCCTGGCCTGTGCTCAGCCTGTTTTCTTTTTTCTTTCACTTTGTATTTTATGTATTATTTTTATTTTATGTGTATCAGGGTATTGCCTGCATGCATGTAAGTGCACCCATGTCATGCAATGCCTGAGGAGGACAGAAGAGGGAGTCGAATGCCGTGGACCTGGAGTTATGGACAGTTGTTAGCTGCCACATGGGTGCTGGGATTCGAACCTGGGTCTTCTGCAAGAACAGTCAGTGTTCTTAACCGCTGAGCAATCTCTCCAGCCCCCAAGAAAAGATTTTTAACTTTATTTATAAAATAAAATATGTGTATGTTTTTGTGTGAGTGTATGTGCACATGAGGCAGAGACTGCACAGGTCTTTGCATATGTGGAGGCCTGAAGAAGACATCATATCCCTCAGAACTGAAGTTAACAGGCATTTGAGAATGCCCAACTTGTTGCATGGCTGCTAGGATGTGAACTCATGATTGTACAGCAAGCGCTCTTAACTGCTGAGCCATCTCTCCAGTGCCCAAGACAGAGCTTTATATAACTTCTTCTAGGTATGACAGGAATAACATGCCGTCACCTTTGCCCTATTCTATGATTAGTATCAAGTCATGAATGACACTTGCAGTCAAGAGGAAGGAATCACACAAAGGTGCGCATATCGAAAGGCAGCATCATTGGGGTCCTCTTAGGGTCTGTCCATTAACATTACTATAAAACTTAAGAAAAAGTGTAGAAAAACAGAGCTAGGGCCTAGAATTAGAAAGACCAAAAAAGGAAGTCAAAATTTACAAGAGTGGAACGTGGTAGAGCCTGCCTGGTGTTAGGGTAGGAGGATTGCAAGTTTGAGGCCAGCCTGGGCTACATAGCAAGATCC